CAATGACACATTTTAATTCTCTGAATGTTGGCCCTGGGGAGATAAGATCTTTGGGTCTCCCCACGGCAGCTTTACTGTTTTTATGGTTTCCCCAGTAATTTGAAGATGTGGCAATATTATTATTCTTTATAAGGTCAAAATCGCTGCATGTTCAAGGACCAGGTTTGAATTGCATAAGATTTACATTTCACAGGGGGATATAAAGTTCTTTAAATATTGCTCTGTATCAGATCCTGAATTAACCAGTGATACTATGCAAAAAGTCAATTTTCTAATGGTTCATTTGAAGACTTCAGCCCCTTTTGAGGTGCTATATGTACATTTTGCTAAATTATCCAATATGTAAGTAAGACCAGATTCTGCAGTGTAAAATAAGAGACTCAAGCCAACAGGAGAGGTGGCTCTGTGTACACAGGAGAAACTGCAGCTAGACATGGGCCTTGGTCAAAGTACAGCTGCTTATCTTTTGTTAATCTAAACTTTGACAAGTTCATTGTTTCCCAGCCTTAGCTGCTCTAGAGTGAGATCATAGGGTTTATGTTGGTCATAAATCCAGTCACCTTTTCTTTCCCAAAATAATAGCAAAGAATAACTTAGTTACATGTATTTGAAGGAGCTTCTTGTTTTTCCTGTAGTAAGTTCACCAGCTATATTAGTCTTAGGAACAAGATAAACTAAATCTTTAATTACTTTCTATATTACACATAACTCTGAAAATACTGTTTTATGATTTTTCTTTAATTTTATCTCCTTGGTCTGTATATTTTTATTCTGTTATCTATAATTTTACATTTCTAAGAATCAGAGTGATGAAATTCTTCTTAATGCTTTTCCACATTAGCATTTATATGAACTCCTAGTCATTACATTCTTAAATAATGCACACTGCTTTAATCTTCATTCAATTCGGCACTTAATTTATTGGGCCCTGCTATTTCCCAGGCACTCTCCTGGGTGCACCTCCTTCAAGAAACTTATATTCTAGCGGGAATAGAAATTGTGTTTTGTAATATTTTTATCTTTTATTGAATGCTCAATACTCAATATATATTACAAAGAATTTATATATATGTCTTGTACAGAAATTGTTTTCAGAATTCTTGGTTACCAAGTGCAGTCCTTTTGTGTACTGGATGTGTGTCCTTGTGCAAGTCCCTCAATTTCCTGTGTGCATAAGGGAGGTACCAGTAATGCCAGCCTTTGTTATACCTCTTGTTAAGAGAGTAGAAGTTTTCACTCCACTTTCACCAGCCAGTGAAATTATTTGCTTCTGCCCTATCCTTTCTCACCTCCTTTTACATAGTGGAAACAATGTCTACATTCTGTTCCTTCCCACTAGCTGATGTATGACTAACTCTTCAGTGATCCCTTAGCACATCTTCAGCTATTTTGTTTCTATTTACATTTAAACATGTGCGTCTATTGAAAAAACAAAAACTCATATCCACCCAGTTGCATTTTTGCTTTCCTCCCTGTACACAACTAAATTTGTCTGCTTCCTTACCTCCTGTTCTTATTCCCTCGTCATGCCACTGACACTGCCTTTGCTGTCACCAGTAATCTCCTTATTGCTAATTCTAGTGGATCTATAATCCTTACCTATAATTTCATTTTTTTAAAAAAGGTGGGTGTTGATAAAGTCAGTAGCGCTCCAAGGACTTTAGGAGAAAGTTTGATATTCTTAGGGCAAAAAAAAATGCATTGATTCACTGACAGATATTTGTCAAACACTCTTATGATCGTTGAAGATACAGTAATTAATAATATGAGTAAGAGTCCCTGTATCCCTGGACCTTAATGTTAGTTGAAATAAACAGGCAGAAAAAATAAGTAAAATATATGTCAGATAATGATAAAGGATTATCAAGCAAAGATAGAACAAAGAAGAGTTTAGAACTTCAGATAGGATGGATTTTAGATGACATGGCCAGGGAAGGCCCATTAAGAATAGGACATTTGAGCAAAGACCCTCAGGAGGTAAGGAAAGGTTCCATGCAGGTGTCTGGGGGAAGAGTGGGTCTGGCAAACTGTTTATTCGGTCTTAGCAAAAATACTTTTTTGTGGCATGAAATATTTTTATAAAGATTCTTGTTCTTGTGATAAAAAGGAAAGCTAGGTATTTGGGGATATACTGTTGCAAATTGACTTATTAGGATAAAATAGTATTTTTCATAATTTAATTTTATAAATTAAGTGAAGGCAGAAATCTAAAGTTAATTTTATTTAACATTTTTTTAGGCAGGCATCTAAATGATTGCATGCTTTTGTAGTTGGACAGTTTAGATAATGGCATCTTTATTCCACAAGAGATGCAGATATTTTTTAAACAAGTGGAACATTAGCTGAGGTAGCGTAGTACAGCTTTGTGAGACTCTTAGTGAGGTTCAGCAACTTTTTTGGGAGGAGAAATTTTAGCATTTGTACTTACTTCATTTCAGCAAAATAATCTTGTGAGAGCAGTAAAACTGTACATTCTCTGTATTACGTTAAAAATCCTAATTTACTTAAAGGAGAACGAAGCCTTACGAACAGATTTATGGGTTGGCTCCAATATTTGGGAAGATTCGTGTGGTTCAGAATGGGGTCTTCCTGACTCTTGGGTGGAGCTCTGTTTCATTCTAAATAGATTAATATGATTTATGGAATTGGCTGGGTTTTAGAGAAGCTCAAGTGTTAGATATGTAGAAAATACTCAGCAGTCAGAATCATAAACTTGCTTCTGGTGTATCTCCCTCCTCTTCTTTACCCCTCACAAATATTAGGGATATTTAAAAGTAATGGAGACAGGAAATAGGCCGTGGCATACACTTCTATTGAAATTTAGGAATCACTAACCATTTCCTTTCCTGGTTGCTTGACATTGTAACAGGCAGTGAGAAACATTTCTCTAAGTTACGGTCCTGTGGATTTTAAACCTTTCCTTAAGTACAACTGTATTAATTACCATATGCGTATTGCTTGCCATCGATAAGCATGACAAGGAAGCACTGTAGACCTAGAGAACATTTTATGCTTTAATTTGTTTAGTGCTCATATGGAGGATTGAAAAGTAAAAGGAATAAGCTCTTACTGGGCTTGATAAGGACTCGGTCTTTTGGAATGAGGTGCTTACATAGCAAGACTTGAATAAGGTTTTGCGTGTATTGTCTGGACCTGAGCAAATGCTAGTGCTAGGGCTAAAAAGCACAGATGACCAGTGGACAAAAGGAAGCGCTGAACTGGCAGGAACCATTCTTATTCCTGAGCGTACACACCTTCCGCACTGTTTGCTCCCTGTGTTCATCCCGTTTCTGCTCGCCTAGGACCTAAAGGAATTCTTCTCTCATCTCCAGTAGATAATATTTTGGTCCATTCCAGCCAGAGTCTGTGGTCCTTTTTCACTGTGCTATTGATAATGTCGCTGATGAAGATAGCATTCTAATTCCATGTCAGGAGAGTAAACGACAGGGTGTGGTTTCCTGACCATTTACATGGAAATTTATCACTGGATGATTTACAAAGAGGCAACTCAGATTTGAAATTTAAACAGCCATACAAAAAATGATTTGGCAGGGTTACTTTTTAAAATTAAGTCTTATTTCTGGCCATTCTCCTCTCACCAGTTTCAAAAATAATATGAGTTCATGGTCGTTTAATAATAGGAAAATCTAGCAAAGCAGAGTTTTGTAATTTTGCCGTTTAGAAAATAAACACTGTTACATTTTAATGTCTATCTTTCCCATATGTTTTCAGTACACACACATATTTAAACGATAAGCCTCATACTATACATACTGTTTTACAGCTGACTTTAAAAAGCTGTATTATGAATATTTTCCATGTTATTAAATATTCTTCTAAAATATTTTCAATAGCTGCATTATAATCCATCATATTAAACAATATTTATTTAACCAATCCCTATCATTAGATGTTAGCTGGCTTTCAGATTTTTGCTTTTATAAATTATACAGAAGAGAGTCTTGCATAACTCTTTGAGTACTTCTCTGGCTATTTTTTTAGGATAAAGGTAGTTTCATATGTATAATAATTTTACTGTTTCACGGAACCATTTGCTAGAAGAAGAAAACTAATATTTATTGAATCCTCAAATACCAGATACTGTGCTAGATGCCTTGTAGTCATATATTTCATAGAATCGTTAGCTGTTTTCATCCCAGTTTTATAGATGAAGAAATCTGTATGCACATGTCTAAGATGTTCTGCAGTAAGTTAAGTTTATGTAGAAAATGTTTAGCCCTGGCCAGTGTGGCTCAATTGGTTGAGCGTCATCTCTTGCACTGAAAGGTCAGGTTCAATTCCCAGTCAGAGCACGTGCCTAGGTTGTAGGTTTATGGGAGGCAACCAGTTGACATTTCTCTCTTTCTCCCTCTCTCTTTTCCTCTCTCCTTTGCTCCCTGCCTCTCTCTAAAAGAAAAGATGTTTAAATGTTTTGTTTAGCAAATAACAAAGGCCTTTCACAGTCACAGGATACAATAAAAACTTACAGATGAAGTCTTTAATTTTCTTTTGGCTTTGGTATATATATTATATTAAGATTTAATATCTTTGTGTTTTACCTAAAGGATTTTAGGTCTAAAAGTTATGTTATTTGGCATTCTTAGCTTTGGAGAAAAAACGTGGATGATTCCTTTGCAAATTTTGGGTTTTAGTCATATGACCAATGTTGTAGACGATTAATTTATAAATCACATTTTATCTTTAAGTTAGAAGTGGATAATTGTCTACTAGCTGAAAATGGTTTCTTTTCACTTAAAATTTCAGGCATAGCTTTTTCAAGTTCTGCACTCGTAAGATCTAAGAAGTGAAAGTTGGGTGATACAAGGTTAAAAGGTGCAGAATAGGGATAGGAGCAGTGAGGTGTCATGACTGTGGTTTTGCAGAGCAAGCTTAGACACCTTTGCCTATTGGCCCATATAATCGACCCTATTTTGAGAAGTGGGATTGTTGTTTTAGGGCCTAGTATTTGTTATCTAATGCAGTGATTTGTTTTGTCTCAGCCACATCGATCAGACAACAACTTGGCAGGACCCCAGGAAGGCTATGCTTACGCAGCTGAATGTTACAGCCCCCACCAGCCCACCGGTGCAGCAGAATATGATGAACTCAGCCTCAGGTGAGTGAGACACTGTAATTAGACCACACTAGATAATGCTTATGTGTTGGTAAAAGTTTTGTGGAAAATAGTAATTATTCTCTTAAGAAAACTGGATCATGCCTGATGTTTATTTTCTGTCCAGTTTCATAGGGGAGACTTACTTTATTTAAAAATAACATGCATGCCAAAGCATTGTTTAGTCATTAATACATAAAGGGGCTGGTGACTAAAAGCCAACAGTTTTTAAAGTTTCAGTTCTGCAGCAAGGATCTCAAATTCCTGGTTTGGTTAACTTTGTCATACTTGCGATTTCTTCTGCTTTCTTGTGCCTTAGGGTCTTAAGAGTTGAAGGTTTCCCCCTTCTCATTGTGGTTTGGATGAGAAACCAATCTATGGTGTTCCTAACCCCCTACCTTCTAAAGCAGATATTTATTCTACTTTGAGATTAACTGGAAGATAGCAACTCATAAACCCCAAGGCATCTTTCTTAGTACATGTTATTGAGCCCATTTCCACCTTTTTCACAGGAGATAAACCTGACTATAAATTTTTTTTTTTTTTTTTTTTTGCCTCTTATTTGGTAATTTACTTAAATCTGCTGGGGGTTTTTTTCCATCTACATAATGAGTGACAGTGCCCCTTCCTATAGAGAGGCAGATATTAAGGGAAATGATATACTACATATAAAGCTTTTATTATAGTTCTAATACATAATAAGCAAAGGCTTAAGTCCCTTCTTCCCTAGTAAGTTAGATACTCTCTGGCTTTTTTCTTCTTTGTTATGTGGGCCCAAGTCCATAGCTACCCCATTATGCATCTTCGTGCATGTTAGGAAAAGGTGCCCCTTCCTCTAGGAAGATGCAGCCCCATGCCTGTCATCAGGGACTGGAGCATTTAGGCTGGATTTCTTTCTGGCTACTCAAGGCACAGATGGCAACAGCAATTGGCAGCCCTAGTGGCCTTGGTGGCTTTCTTCACAGCCCACCCACCTTCCCTGTCCGACAGGCTGACAAACATCATATTATAGCTGCACTATAGATTTTCTTTCACAGCAGCAGCCTTTGGAAAGGCGTTGGTGGGGGTGGGGAGGTTGGTACAGTTAGTTGACAAGAGGAGTCCTTGACTTGAGAGTTTGAAGAATTTGAAATGCCTTTGCCCCTGAAGATGATGGCAGTGTGTTGAAATGTTTCTACTGTCCCATCACTCTCTGCTCTTGCTTTTGATGGGTTAAACACTTTCCTAAAGAGTTAAAAGCTGAAAATGAAAGTCTAGGCAAGGTTCGTGAGTGAGCTTTTCTTGTCATAATCTTTAAGTAAGATTAATTCTTTAAATCTTCCATTTTAGCTTATTTTAATAATTCATTAACTTATTTTCAGAATCTCTTTTGTGTGTGACATTTAATTTAAAAAATTAAAAGACAAAATTATGCAAGTATTTATTGACTAATATTTTTACTTGACAGCTTTTGTTTTTAATTATCTAATTTCCAAATACAAGTTGTGAAAGCTGCCTTGTATTTGTAGTTCAAAGAAATTATTGAGATTATTCCTTTTGTCATGCTCCATCTAAAACTGTACCTAGGAAATTAGTAACAAATGACTCCTTAGTTTAAATTTTATTTTGGGAGATTAGGCATTTTTCATCTAGAATAGTTAATTGTGAGTCTTTTAGAACATTGGTGTTTTTTTTTTCCTATTAAATTTTTTAATGGTAATGGTCAGTGAAAATGGAAATCTGTATTCAAACTTATATTTAAAATCAAAAGTATATATCAAATTGGTTTTAGGGGGTTCAGAATATTTGTGTATATTTTATTTTAGCTCTATCTTATTTGTAAAATATGAAATGTGTTTTTACATACTGCATATAAATTAGTAGGCATGCTTAACTTATAGGTATATTTTTAAATTTTATTTTACAATTACAGATGACATACAGTTTTCTATTAGTTTCAGGTGTACAACATAGTGATTAGACATTTATAAATCTTAAGGAGTGATCACCCTGATAATCTTGTACCCATCTCACACCATACATAGTTATTACAGTATTATTGACTATATTCCTTATGTTCTATTTACACCCTCATGACTAATTTTATAATTGGCAATTTGTACATCTTAATCCCTTTCACCTTTTTCACTCATCCCCCAACCCCTTCTCCCATCTGGAACAGCTGTATATAGTAAAGAGAGGTGCCTTTGGCAGGAACAGTATGAGTAGAGTAGGAAGAAGCATGATTGTAGTGGTAGAAGACAGGATTTAGACTCTGGTAGTGGGATTCCAGAGCCCATGCTCTTAGTCTACTTGTGATCAGGGTTAGGATAAGTGACAGAGAGAAAAGCCTCAGAAAACAGAGGGGTAGGATTTGTTAATGCCCTGGAGGTGTTATTTTAATATATAAGTAGATATACTGGAGAACTCTTTCTACAGAAGGTGGTGGGTGTAGGGGTGATGTTTGCTTAAGGAGATTTTGTATCTAATAAAATGAACACCGTACCTTTAATAAGAATATTTAAAGAAGATACTATAGGTCATTGTCTTTAGTGGGAATGTCAGACCGTGTGATGAGTTTAGAAAGGAAGAGCCCCACCCATGTGGCTCCTGACTGAGGATCATCCCATGCACCAAGAGGCCGAGGTTCAACTCTGCTCGGGGTGCATATGGGAGGCAACCGATTGATGCTTCTCTCTCTCCCCTTTCCTCTCCCTCTGAAGTCAATAAAAACGTTTAAGGTATGGTGAAACCAAAAAGCTTTTTAAAAGAAAAAATAAAAATTTAAACTGACTGAATAGTAGAAAATAAGTCAGCAAAAGTTTCAAAATGAGAGTAAGGCTTTAAATTAAGTATATGTGAAATGCAAATGTAGATTCTAAATTTGTTCACAAATACAAATGGCTTAACTACCAAATCAAGTTGAGGCCATTGATACGTAGTAAATACCTCTTTTTACTCTGAATTACATATATGAGCATGTTGTCTTTCATATCTTCTATTTCAGTGAACATTTAAAAATAAATAGTGGACTTCTCCATGGTATTGAAATGCTGTCCAGTGAATGTCACAGGAACCGTAATCTTGATACACCTCATGTTCACATAAAATTATAGCCATAATGTCATGTTAATAAGGTTTCAACCCGGGGCTCTCTTTCTCCATCTGGAAAGCACCCACAGTGCTTGCAGGCTGTAAAGTACCTATACAGCACCCTTTCTCAAACAGCTGTGAGAGAAAACGATCTCTCTCAGTCAGGACCTTCTACTTGAGAAAAGCAGCAAAAGTGATTCTTGTCTGTCCTTGGAAAATAAGCTTTCAAGGAGTTATTAGAGCCTAGAGAAAGTGAGGAAGGAGATTTGTGAGGGTAAATTTTGAGGGCATTTACTGGAACAAAGCAGCACATGGCTTCCAGTAACACAGGGTATTTAACAATTTTCATCCTGAAGAGAATGCCTTCTGACAGGTCTGCTAATCTGACGCCTTCCGATAAAAGAAAACTACACAGCTCTTCTGAAGCACTTGACTGAATTAATCAAACTAAATGCAACTTGATTTACATTGTTATCATGAATTAATTTAGAACTTTCTAGTTTTGCTCTTTTTAAAGAAGAATTCTCAGATCTTTGAGTCCAGCATTGTGTTCTGCTCTATTTCTAATCAGACCACTCTCCTTAAAATACTGTCATTTTTCTCTAGACTCTCCAGACCTGCTTTTTAATGGTTGGCTGGACTGAATGATCTTTTAAGATTCACTTCAATTCTAAGATTTTATGAAATCTTATTTCTTTTATTTAGTCTAATTCTGTTTAGCAAAAATGATCAGTGTACTTTGGTTCTAGAAGTTGTTTTTCAAAAAGTGAGGTTGAAAAGATGGATTTCATGGCTAGACTGGAGACCTGTAGTTTGTAATTGCTCGAATTCTTAGTATATATAATTGAGAAATCACTTAAAGATGTACCTGGAAGTAAGTTTAGAGGCAAGACTAACTAGGTCCTTTAAAGAAGATTGATTTTATTCTCTGTCTATTTAATTGGTAAACAAATAACTGAACTTTGTGAAAAGGATTTGAAAGGTGAGGAAAAGGAAATTTGAATAATTTAGTAAGATAATGGTTCCATTTTACTTTACATTAAAATATGTAATGATATTTACATATATAAACACTACTCTATTAAATTATTTGAGATGATTGCCCTTTAGAAGTCCTATTAAATGTATTACTCTTATAGCATATTGATTTAACAACCTTTTGATGTACGCTTATAATCTATTTAAAATAGTTCTGCATACTGAGAGTTAGGTAAACATTAGTGATTTTTGTGTTATACATTAGAAAATAAAGACTTGCGGGTAGGATAGAAAAGTGGTACTTCCTCTTTAACCAGCTTTATTTATATGAAGATATTAAAATTTTTAGTAGTAACTTGTCAACAATGACCCACAAGATTGCTGAATCTTAAAACAACAGTAAAATCAAGAAAGTATACTCTGATCATTCAAAAATAATGATGCCAAAGGCTGTTTAGGAACTGTTTAGGAAAATTTTAAATCTTAAGTTCTGATTTAAATTATGGAAAATCAACCCAGTTATGTGCTTTTTAAAAATTGTACCTTTGATAACAGCCTACAATCAAATGTCTTAGCAGTACATTTTAAGGGATTCATTATTTTTATGTTTTAAAGTCAGGCATTTTTTGACTAAGCCCAAATCTTACCAGTGCAGCGCTTTCAGATTTCCCGATAAACCTGCAATGGAATTCCTAGGAAATACCTCAAGATGGGTGGAGAAAATGCCCTCTTGATGGAGAAAGATGATACATGTTAGAGGAATGTTCTAATAAACACCTTCATTGCAGTGGGGGAAATGTTGAGAGGCAACCAGAGTAGTCAGAGCGGCCTTCGTGTTCCTGCTGTATTTACTCCCCCTTTGTGTAGTCTCTATCAGAGCACAAAAGACCAGATGGAAAAGAGAAATTGTTACCAGGAAAAATGACAGGAAGAGAGGATAGATGCAAAATGTA